GATGCTGGGGTGAGAGAGGTACTTCAGTGCTGGCAGTGATGCTGGGGTGAAAGAGGTACTTCAGTGCTGGCAGTAATGTTGGGGTGAGAGAGGTACTTCAGTGCTGGCAGTGATGCTGGGGTGAGAGAGGTACTTCAGTGCTGGCAGTGATGCTGGGGTGAGAGAGGTACTTCAGTGCTGGCAGTAATGTTGGGGTGAGAGAGGTACTTCAGTGCTGGCAGTGATGCTGGGGTGAGAGAGGTACTGTCAGTGCTGGCAGTGATGCTGGGGTGAGAGAGGTATTTCAGTGCTGGCAGTGATGCTGGGGTGAGAGAGTTACTTCAGTGCTGGCAGTGATGCTGGGGTGAGAGAGGTACTTCAGTGATGCTGGGGTGAGAGAGGTACTTCAGTGCTGGCAGTGATGCTGGGGTGAGAGAGGTACTTCAGTGATGCTGGGGTGAGAGAGGTACTTCAGTGCTGGCAGTAATGCTGGGGTGAGAGAGGTACTTCAGTGCTGGCAGTGATGCTGGGGTGATAATGATGCTTCAGTGCTGGCAGTGATGCTGGGGTGAGAGAGGTACTTCAGTGCTGGCAGTGATGCTGGGGTGAGAGAGGTACTTCAGTGCTGGCAGTGATGCTGCGGTGAGAGAGGTACTTCAGTGCTGGCAGTGATGCTGGGGTGAGAGAGGTACTTCAGTGCTGGCAGTGATGCTGGGGTGAGAGAGGTACTTCAGTGCTGGCAGTGATGCTGGGGTGAGAGAGGTACTTCAGTGCTGGTAGTGATGCTGGGGTGAGAGAGGTACTTCAGTGCTGGCAGTGATGCTGGGGTGAGAGAGGTACTTCAGTGCTGGCAGTGATGCTGGGGTGAGAGAGGTACTTCAGTGCTGGCAGTGATGCTGGGGTGAGAGAGGTACTTCAGTGCTGGCAGTGATGCTGGGGTGAGACAGGTACTTCAGTGCTGGCAGTGATGCTGGGGTGAGAGAGGTACTTCAGTGCTGGCAGTGATGCTGGGGTGAGATAGGTACTTCAGTGCTGGGAGAGCGAGCAGTGATACAAGGATGGCAGGAATTGTTCCCGCCTTGGTATTTTGGCTTGTATTCGGTCTTAACCGACCATTATTTCTTAAGATGATGTTCAGATGTGATGTCAACAGACATCTGTAACACATCCCGAGACATCAGAGATGTCTGGCAGTAGGACGTCACAACCCATTCTCCTGTATTTTATGTACTGAGTCCGGACGCTGCTGGACACCCTCAGGAGGTTAATGGTTGGCAATAAGTATTTTACAGCCGTGTTCTAGCTGCCTCTACTACCATCTCCCCCACCACTTTCCATCAATTTCCACTACTTTCCATCAACTACGATTACTTTCCATCAACTACCACCATCACCACCACCTATAAACACCAACCAGCATCTAACGCTACCAGTTACCAGTATCTGTCACCATCATATTCTACTGTCATATTTCACGACCCTATCTTCGACTCCATCCATTCCCTACCATCACTGCCACTGACCACAACCACCACCTACTATAACTATCACATAACACTATCACTAGCTACTACCACACATTCCACAACTCCACCACTTATCACCACGCTCTCCAACACTTATCTTCATCACCATCACCTTTTCAACTAGCATATAACTTACCACCACCACTACCTACTACAACCACCAACACTTGCTACCACTACCACCACCACAACCATCACCACCAACAACCAGAACCTTCAACATATGCTATCACTACCACCTACCTCAACCACCAATACCTACTATCACGACCATTTCGTACTACAACTACATTGAAACATCAAAATATGGTCAAAATATTCTCAAAATATGCTCAAAAATCTTATGTATAGATTTTGAGCAAGGGATACTATTACAGAATCTAAATTTCAAAACATACACAGAAAAATAGTTTTCACTAAAGCCTCCAGTCTAGATAGAGAACATTATTATTATTACAGGATAGTAGATGAATGGTTCAGAGAACCGACAAGTTGATAAATTAGACACATGTGCAACTCTTGTGTATCTTTATTAAGGAAACATGTGTCTAATTTATTAACGTGTCGGTTCTCTGAACCATTGATCTACAATCCTGTCAGACACTGCAACTTCTTGGGATCTTAATACTTGGGAATTCTTCACTTGCCTAACCCTTGGGCACGACCTACTTCCACACTGAACAAATGTGACACCACCTACGACTGCTGCACCTCTCCTGCCATACGGTTTATAAGCTGCTTCTCCGCACATATGCCGTATTCTATACAAGATTGATGGACTGACCACATCGAATCAAGGCTGAGGGACTGATTACCTCATTCTCCTCCTGTTCTTCAAGATTCTCCTTTGTATGGACTGATGAAGCCACTGTGTGATGAAACGTTTCCTCAATAAAGATACCCAAGAGTTACTCATGTGTCTAATTTATCAACTTGTCGGTTCTCTGAACCATTCATCTACTATCCTGTAATAATAATAATGTTCTCTATCTAGACTGGAGGCTTTAGTGAAAACTATTTTTCTGTGTATGTCTTGAAATTTAGATTCTGTAATAGTATCCCTTGCTCAAAATCTATACATAACATTTTTGAGCATATTTTGAGAATATTTTGACCATATTTTGATGTTTCAATAATAAAGTCCCTTGTTCAAAATCAGTCTCTCGTGTAAATGATATTCTCTTTCTATGCTTCCACTTTAGTGTATAAGTGAAAGATTGGTATTAACAAAGGGGATATAAATAAGGTCTTGAGGATATCTCTCCATGAGAGACCCCACAATAATGGATTCAAATTAAATAAGTTTAGATTTAGAAAGAGTTTAGGAAAGTATTGGTTTGGTAATAGGGTAGTTGATGAGTGGAACAGTCTGTCTAGTAGGGTTATCGAAGCTAAAATCTTGGATAGTTTCAAATTTAGGTTGGATAAATAAATGGGTGAGAGGGGTTGGACTTGAGTGGGACTTGCACTTGAGTAAATAGAATTATTACAGCTTATTTCTATGCATGCTCTCTGCCAATCCCTAGGTACCTTACCCTCTTAATAAATGTATGGAAGAGAGTAAGGTACCTAGGGATTGGCAGAGAGCACGCATAGTTCCTTTGTATAAAGGCAAAGGGGACAAAAGAGAGTGCAAAAATTATAGGGGGATAAGTCTGTTGAGTATACCTGGTAAAGTGTATGGTAGAGTTATTATTGAAAGAATTAAGAGTAAGATGGAGAATAGGATAGCAGATGAACAAGGAGGCTTTAGGAAAGGTAGGGGGTGTGTGGACCAGGTGTTTACAGTGAAACATATAAGTGAACAGTATTTAGATAAGGCTAAAGAGGTTTTTGTGGCATTTATGGATTTGGAAAAGGCGTATGACAGGGTGGAAAGGGGGCAATGTGGCAGATGTTGCAGGTGTATGGTGTAGGAGGTAGGTTACTGAAAGCAGTGAAGAGTTTTTACGAGGATAGTGAGGCTCAAATTAGAGTATGTAGGAAAGGGAAATTATTTCCCAGTAAAAGTAGGCCTTAGACAAGGATGTGTGATGTCACCGTGGTTGTTTAATATATTTATAGATGGGATTGTAAGAGAAGTAAATGCGAGGGTCTTGGCAAGAGGCGTGGAGTTAAAAGATAAAGAATCACACATAAAGTGGGAGTTGTCACAGTTGCTCTTTGCTGATGACACTGTGCTCTTGGGAGATTCTGAAGAGAAGTTGCAGAGGTTGGTGGATGAATTTAGTAGGGTATGCAAAACAAGAAAATTAAAAGTAAATACATGAAAGATTAAGGTTATGAGGATAACAAAAAGATTAGGTGATGAAAGATTGAATATCAGATTGGAAGGAGAGAGTATGGAGGAGGTAAATGTATTCAGATATTTGGGAGTGGACGTGTCAGCGGATGGGTCTATGAAAGATGAGGTGAATCATAGAATTGATTAGGGAAAAGGGTGAGCGGTGCACTTAGGAGTCTCTGGAGACAAAGAACTTTGTCCTTGGAGGCAAAGAGGGGAATGTATGAGAGTATAGTTTTACCAACGCTCTTATATGGGTGTGAAGCATGGGTGGTGAATGTTGCAGCGAGGAGAAGGCTGGAGGCAGTGGAGATGTCATGTCTGAGGGCAATGTGTGGTGTGAATATAATGCAGAGAATTCGTAGTTTGGAAGTTAGGAGGAGGTGCGGGATTTCCAAAACTGTTGTCCAGAGGGCTGAGGAAGGGTTGAGGTGGTTCGGACATGTAGAGAGAATGGAGCGAAACAGAGTGACTTCAAGAGTGTATCAGCCTGTAGTGGAAGGAAGGCGGGGTAGGGGTCGGCCTAGGAAAGGTTGGAGGGAGGGGGTAAAGGAGGTTTTGTGTGCGAGGGACTTGGACTTCCAGCAGGCATGCGTGAGCGTGTTTGATAGGAGTGAATGGAGACAAATGGTTTTTAATACTTGACGTGCTGTTGGAGTGTGAGCAAAGTAACATTTATGAAGGGGTTCAGGGAAACCGGCATGCCGGACTTGAGTCCTGGAGATGGGAAGTACAGTGCCTGCACTCTGAAGGAGGGGTGTTAATGTTGCAGTTTAAAAACTGTAGTGTAAAGCACCCTTCTGGCAAGACAGAGATGGAGTGAATGATGGTGAAAGTTTTTCTTTTTCGGGCCACCCTGCCTTGGTGGGAATCGGCCAGTGTGATAATAAAAATAAAATAATTCTTGGGTAGCATTGAAAATTGGGTTGGGCAAATATTTTGTTAGTGGGAAGGTTAGTGAAGGACCTGCCTAGTATGGGCCAACAGGCCTACTGCAGTGTTCCCCTTTTCTTATGTTTTTTATATTTTTCTAAAAGTGATCTTTCAGTACTTCGATATTTTGTCATGATAAAGGATCCATGTGGATGTGACCTGACCTGACTAGGTGGGTCATTGGTTTAAGCCAGGAGGTGACTTGGTTCTGCCTTAAATGGGCCCGTAGGCCTGCTTTAGTGTCCTTTCTTACTTTCTTGTGTTATATGTATACACAGAGCCGAGGTGTACACGGGTGGGTCATCCAGGCCAGTACGTGTTATGGAAGGTCCAGTTCCAGTCTTCAACCTGGAAGGTCTCTCTCCTGGAGGAGACTTTGTGGTGACCCTCACTGCTATCAACCGCAAGGGCGCCTCTCCCCCTGTCTCCTTAGAAGCTTTCACCCTTAAAGTTGCAGAGAACAGAATGAGTGAGTATTGCAACAGAATGAGTGAGTATTGCAACAGAATGAGTAAGTATTGCAACAGAATGAGTGAGTATTGCAACAGAATGAGTGAGTATTGCAACAGAATGAGTGAGTATTGCAACAGAATGAGTGAGTATTGCAACAGAATGAGTGAGTATTGCAACAGAATGAGTGAGTATTGCAACAGAATGAGTGAGTATTGCAACAGAATGAGTATTTTAACAGAATAGGTAACATACGTCAGTCAAAAAAATGAGTATTGAAAGAGAACGAACGTTAGAACGGGATGAGTATTTTAACAGGAAATGTGAATATTGTTACAGGAAGACTGAGTGGTATGTGACACCTGTGTGGTATGTGACACCTGTGTGGTATGTGACACCTGTGTGGTATGTGACACCTGTGAGGTATGTGACACCTGTGAGGTATGTGACACCTGTGAGGTATGTGACACCTGTGTGGTATGTGACACCTGTGTGGTATGTGACACCTGTGTGGTATGTGACACCTGTGTGGTATGTGACACCTGTGTGGTATGTGACACCTGTGTGGTATGTGACACCTGTGAGGTATGTGACACCTGTGTGGTATGTGACACCTGTGAGGTATGTGACACCTGTGTGGTATGTGACACCTGTGTGGTATGTGACACCTGTGTGGTATGTGACACCTGTGTGGTATGTGACACCTGTGTGGTATGTGACACCTGTGAGGTATGTGACACCTGTGTGGTATGTGACACTTGTGTGGTATGTGACACCTGTGTGGTATGTGACACTGTGGTATGTGACACCTGTGTGGTATGTGACACCTGTGAGGTATGTGACACCTGTGTGGTATGTGACACCTGTGAGGTATGTGACACCTGTGTGGTATGTGACACCTGTGAGGTATGTGACACCTGTGTGGTATGTGACACCTGTGTGGTATGTGACACTGTGGTATGTGACACCTGTGTGGTATGTGACACCTGTGAGGTATGTGACACCTGTGTGGTATGTGACACCTGTGAGGTGTGTGACACCTGTGAGGTATGTGACACCTGTGTGGTATGTGACACCTGTGTGGTATGTGACACCTGTGTGGTATGTGACACCTGTGAGGTATGTGACACCTGTGTGGTATGTGACACATGTGAGGTATGTGACACCTGTGTGGTATGTGACACTGTGGTATGTGACACCTGTGTGGTATGTGACACCTGTGAGGTATGTGACACCTGTGTGGTATGTGACACCTGTGAGGTATGTGACACCTGTGTGGTATGTGACACCTGTGTGGTATGTGACACCTGTGTGGTATGTGACACCTGTGAGGTATGTGACACCTGTGAGGTATGTGACACCTGTGTGGTATGTGACACCTGTGTGGTATGTGACACCTGTGTGGTATGTGACACCTGTGTGGTATGTGACACCTGTGTGGTATGTGACACCTGTGTGGTATGTGACACCTGTGAGGTATGTGACACCTGTGTGGTATGTGACACCTGTGAGGTATGTGACACCTGTTTGGTATGTGACACCTGTGTGGTATGTGACACCTGTGTGGTATGTGACACCTGTGTGGTATGTGACACCTGTGTGGTATGTGACACCTGTGAGGTATGTGACACCTGTGTGGTATGTGACACCTGTGTGGTATGTGACACCTGTGTGGTATGTGACACTGTGGTATGTGACACCTGTGTGGTATGTGACACCTGTGAGGTATGTGACACCTGTGTGGTATGTGACACCTGTGAGGTATGTGACACCTGTGTGGTATGTGACACCTGTGTGGTATGTGACACCTGTGTGGTATGTGACACCTGTGTGGTATGTGACACTGTGGTATGTGACACCTGTGTGGTATGTGACACCTGTGAGGTATGTGACACCTGTGTGGTATGTGACACCTGTGAGGTATGTGACACCTGTGAGGTATGTGACACCTGTGTGGTATGTGACACCTGTGTGGTATGTGACACCTGTGTGGTATGTGACACCTGTGTGGTATGTGACACCTGTGAGGTATGTGACACCTGTGAGGTATGTGACACCTGTGAGGTATGTGACACCTGTGAGTTATGTGACACCTGTGTGGTATGTGACACCTGTGTGGTATGTGACACCTGTGTGGTATGTGACACCTGTGAGGTATGTGACACCTGTGAGGTATGTGACACCTGTGAGGTATGTGACACCTGTGAGGTATGTGACACCTGTGTGGTATGTGACACCTGTGTGGTATGTGACACCTGTGAGGTATGTAACACCTGTGAGGTATGTGACACCTGTGAGGTATGTGACACCTGTGAGGTATGTGACACCTGTGTGGTATGTGACACCTGTGTGGTATGTGACACCTGTGTGGTATGTGACACCTGTGTGGTATGTGACACCTGTGAGGTATGTGACACCTGTGAGGTATGTGACACCTGTGAGGTATGTGACACCTGTGAGGTATGTGACACCTGTGTGGTATGTGACACCTGTGTGGTATGTGACACCTGTGAGGTATGTGACACCTGTGAGGTATGTGACACCTGTGAGGTATGTGACACCTGTGTGGTATGTGACACCTGTGTGGTATGTGACACCTGTGAAGTATGTGACACCTGTGAGGTATGTGACACCTGTGAGGTATGTGACACCTGTGAGGTATGTGACACCTGTGTGGTATGTGACACCTGTGTGGTATGTGACACCTGTGTGGTATGTGACACCTGTGTGGTATGTGACACCTGTGTGGTATGTGACACTGTGGTATGTGACACCTGTGAGGTATGTGACAAATGTGATGTCTGTCAGACCTGTGTTAACTGTGACACCAGTGTGGTCTCTGAGCCCAGTGTGGTCTGTGAGATGAGTGTGGTCTGTGAGCCCAGTGTGGTCTGTGAGATGAGTGTGGTCTGTGAGATGAGTGTGGTCAGTGAGTTCAGTGTGGTCTGTGAGTTCAGTGTGGTCTGTGAGTTCAGTGTGGTCTGTGAGACCAGTGTGGTCTGTGAGACCAGTGTGGTCTGTGAGACCAGTGTGGTCTGTGAGACCAGTGTGGTCTGTGAGACCAGTGTGGTCTGTGAGACCAGTGTGGTCTGTGAGACCAGTGTGGTCTGTGAGATGAGTGTGGTCTGTGAGATGAGTGTGGTCTGTGAGCCCAGTGTGGTCTGTGAGATGAGTGTGGTCTGTGAGATGAGTGTGGTCAGTGAGTTCAGTGTGGTCTGTGAGTTCAGTGTGGTCTGTGAGTTCAGTGTGGTCTGTGAGACCAGTGTGGTCTGTGAGACCAGTGTGGTCTGTGAGACCAGTGTGGTCTGTGAGACCAGTGTGGTCTGTGAGACCAGTGTGGTCTGTGAGACCAGTGTGGTCTGCGAGTTCAGTGTGGTCTGTGAGACCAGTGTGGTCTGTGAGACCAGTGTGGTCTGTGAGACCAGTGTGGTCTGTGAGACCAGTGTGGTCTGTGAGACCAGTGTGGTCTGTGAGACCAGTGTGGTCTGTGAGACCAGTGTGGTCTGTGAGACCAGTGTGGTCTGTGAGACCAGTGTGGTCTGTGAGACCAGTGTGGTCTGTGAGTTCAGTGTGGTCTGTGAGACCAGTGTGGTCTGTGAGACCAGTGTGGTCTGTGAGACCAGTGTGGTCTGTGAGACCAGTGTGGTCTGTGAGACCAGTGTGGTCTGTGAGACCAGTGTGGTATGTGAGACCAGTGTGGTCTGTGAGACCAGTGTGGTCTGTGAGTTCAGTGTGGTCTGTGAGACCAGTGTGGTCTGTGAGACCAGTGTGATCTGTGAGACCAGTGTGGTCTGTGAGACCAGTGTGATCTGTGAGACCAGTGTGGTCTGTGAGACCAGTGTGGTCTGTGAGACCAGTGTGGTCTGTGAGTTCAGTGTGGTCTGTGAGACCAGTGTGGTCTAAGAGATATATAATTTCTTTGAGATCTGTTTTAACTGTTAGACCTGTGTAATCTGTGACAAAAGTGTTGTCACGCCAGGACTGCCTGTGTTCTGTGTGAAGCCATTGAGTAGAATACAAACGGGCGATGATCAGGTAAGTTTACCAGAGTATCTGGACAGGATGCAAATCCAACAAATGGCTCCTGGAGTTTAACCCTACCTAGGGTAAAGTCCTGAAGTTTTGGAAAGGACAAAGTAGACCGCAGATGGAGTACAACCTAGAGGTCAAAGAATGCAAAACTCACTCAAGTAAAAGGATCTTGGGGTGAGCATCATACCGAACATTTCCCCTGAGGTGCCACATCAACCAAATAACTGCTGCAACTTACGGGAGCCTAGTATACCTGAGAACAGCTTCTCGCTTCTAGGTACAGAGTCGCTGTACACTGCGTATGTCAAGCCCATACTGAGATATGCAGCACTAGTATGGAAGCCACACCTATTCAAACACGTCATGAAATTTTAAACTGCAAATTTTGCAGTAAGACTTGTTCTGGAGCTGAGGGGTATGTCTCACGAGGAGGGGACTGAGGGTATGTCTTACGAGGAGGGAGCTGAGGGTATGTCTTACGAGGAGGGGAGCTGAGGGTATGTCTTACGAGGAGGGGGAGCTGAGGGGTATGTCCTACGAGAATGGAGAGCGACGGGTATCTTACGAGGAGGGGAGCTGAGGGGTTATGTCTTACGAGGAGGGGGAGCTGAGGGTATGTCTTACGAGGAGGGGAGCTGAGGGGTATGTCTTACGAGGAGGGGGAGCTGAGGGTATGTCTTACGAGGAGGGGGAGCTGAGGGGTATGTCTTACGAGGAGGGGGAGCTGAGGGGTATGTCTTACGAGGAGGGGGAGCTGAGGGGTATGTCTTACGAGGAGGGGAGCTGAGGGGTATGTCTTACGAGGAAGGGGAGCTGAGGGGTATGTCTTACGAGGAGGGGAGCTGAGGGGTATGTCTTACGAGGAGGGGAGCTGAGGGGTATGTCTTACGAGGAGGGGGAGCTGAGGGGTATGTCTTACGAGGAGGGGGAGCTGAGGGGTATGTCTTACGAGGAGGGGGAGCTGAGGGGTATGTCTTACGAGGTGAG